GGCGGCTTACATATTAAAAATACATGAAATACATCAATAAAACCTGTGCAATAAAAATAGAAGATACACCCCTCAATTGTTGTTAGCCGCCTCAATTGTTCACAGAGAGGTGGAGTATAAATAAATATATTTGTTGTTTTTGTGTTTATTATTATTTTAAAGATTACCTAATTTTTTAGAACCATTTTGAGGCTTTCTTCTTCTTCTTTGCTGGTTTGTATTTGCAATGAAATAAGATTGTCAAGTCAAGACTATCCCAGGGCCTGAAATATCAGCATTTCCTGAGACCTAGGGACAAGCCCTTGTGATGTCACCATGGAAGGCCATGTTGGCATTACAAGGTTGATGGCACCTAGTGATGCCATTCAGCATCATCACAGTTGGACAGGGTATGTCATTCAAATAGAAAGCATCATATCTCACAATGAGGAAATATTTATGCACACACTTTTCAAGACAGCAATCTCACTCCTTGTTCTAAGGAATAGAGAAGAAGGGATAAACACTAAGATCTCGGAACTCCTCAAAATGAAATCAACACTATTAGTGTTCTTAATAAATTCTTTAGTTTAAATGGATTTAAATACAGACTGGAAATAGGAACCCTGATAATGGCACCAACCCTTTTCTGTTTGGTGACTCCGTTAATAAATTCCCTCAGTTTAACAAGAATGGAATTACTGAATTTATTTTTCAGCTCCTGATTACCCTCCTCCACTGCCCCCATCCAGCCAGTCTGTATTCTCTTCTGAAGACACAACAGCTAGAAAGATCCTGCCTCCACCTCTAACAATTCGACATAAGCGAACTTCCTCAGAGCCTTCCCCATGGACACCGCTGAATCACACCAGCCCAACTGAAGGTAAAGGGAACTCATTTTGTCAGTTGAGTCCTGGAGAGTGCTGCATTGTTTGATCCTGATCATGAAATGTAGGCACATATTAACGTATTTTATACCGAGGCAGCCACTGCTGTTTGAGGGGATTCTGGGAGTTGTAGTCCAAAAAAGTAAACTCTCTCCAGTACTTTCTGTTCAGTGGTAGGCAGTTCTCCAAGATCTCAGAAGACCTGAAACTTTTATGTGCATATGGAGTCTGCTTTATTATATGACTTTCCAACACTTGCCTGAGTTTACGAGCTGGGTGGGCAAACTGTGGTCCTCTAGATGTTGCTGAATAATTGATAAAATCCTTCAATAGTAGTCATGCTCAGTGAGGTGAAGGGAATAGCAATCCAACAACATTTGGAGGTGAAGAATCACACATTCTCCACTCTGAACTTAGTTTGTGTTGAAATATCTGTTCTGCCATTCAGATAAAGAGCTCTCACATCTAGAAAATTTCCATTCTATGCAAAAAGCACAATAGCAATGGATTCTGGATGTGTCACAAATCCTACAATTTGAATGCCTAGAAAATTCAATATCTTCACAGGAGGGTGGCAATGAAGACATGAGATCTATCTATTACGTTTGAGGAAAAATACTTTTATTGCACACAAATATTGTTTGTGTGGGAAGGAGTTTAAGGGAGCTTTTTGCATGTAAGCTGAGCCAGGATATGGTGAGTTACAAATACCAGTTTGCCAAACCATTTTACAAATTCAGTCTGCCACACTAAATTCTTTGCACAGGATGACTGTAGCACAGTAACTATTTTCTTTTAAAACTATCATGTGTATCAGTTGTGTTTGTGCATGTGTTTTCAAGTCACTTGTTGATTTATAGAGCTCTGTTTTTTCATACACTGAAACAATATATAACTGAATTTTCTTTATGTGATACATAGCCACAGGATCTCAGAGGCATTTCTAAGGAACTCAGAATGGTGAGGGAAGATATGTGCAGTTCCTCTCTATTGTGAGAAGGGAAATAACCTGCATTCTGTTAGAGGAACTAACAACATTGTAATGAGAAGACTTTGAACCTGGGGAATTACTAAAGTCCAAGTCTTCTATGGGACCTTTTATCCTATGTTTACAGAGGTGGCTAGAGAGAAGACTGATATAGAAACAAAGCTTTATTTGAGGATTCAAGCATACAAAG